AAGTTGCTATCTAATATAACACCCAGATTTTTGACTGTAGAGGAAGTAACCGTGCATCCGTCTAGTTGCAAATTGTAATCCACAAGATTCTGTGTACTGTCTTTTGGTCCAATAAGTAATATCTCTGTCTTATCCGAATTTAATAGGAGAAAATTATTGGTCATCCAATCTTTTACATTTTTAACACACTCTGTTAGCTTAGATAATTTAGAAGTTTCATCTCGTCTTGTTGAGATATATAGTTGAGTATCATTGGCATAACAGTGTTAGTTTTAGTGTTTTCCGCCACATCAGATGCATTCAAGCCTCATCCAGCAACATTTTCAAGAAGTTATTCATTTAACTTTTTTAATTTTCACTCATTTTCATTCATTACATTTGTGATTCATGCTGTAACCTGTTATGCAGCCCATCAGTTATGTTCCAGGAGCAGTAACACCTACTGACAACCAACAGCGACCTGAATGGGACCGTGTCAAAACAATTGCACGTCAGGTCACTATGAAGGAAGATTGTGATCTTTTCTTTTGTTTGCCCACCTGAGCTCTGATACAGATCTTTTTTACTCCTCTCATCATTTTCCACTCCATTTTTTGTCTCTCCCTCTTGCTACTTTCTTCCCACTCCCATTTTATCTCCATGTGTCTCCGTCCTCAGGCGCACGTACGTAAGTAGCATGCCTGGTTGCATTATAAATGGACTGAAGACTGTTGGGGTAAACAATCCTGTCTTTTTATTAGACGAGGTGGACAAACTGGGGAAGAGCCTGCAGGGAGATCCTGCTGCCGCCCTGCTGGAGGTGAGAGACACATATTAAATTTTTTTTTTAAAGTATTAAAAAATATATATATATACAGTGGTGTGAAAAGGTTTTTGCCCCCTTCCTGTTTTTTTAGTTTTTTGCATATTTGTCACACTTAAAAGATTCAGATCATCAAACAAATTTTAATATTACACAAAGATAATGCAAGTAAATGCAAAATGCAGTTTTTAAATGATGATTTATTTTATTAAGGGAAAAAAGCTATCCTCGTGACAAAGACAAACATGGGTTGCATGTTTGATGGATGGATGAAAGAATGGATGGAAGGATAGATAGATTGTTAAGGCTAAAAATGTGGATGGACTGTGATATGCTGGAGATGGAATAGTGCAAAACCGATATATCTTTCTGTCAGGGCAGGTCGCTCTGTTCCAGTGTGGTATTACCCAGACTCACTGCATGACATTATATGCCACAATACTGAAAGAAAATGTTTTTCGCAATTGTTTGTGTGTGGTCTACAAGATCAGTTTGCATGCAAGATCAAGTGCATGCATACCATAGGTAGTAGGTAATCGGTTTGTTGTCCTTTCTGTGTACAGTATCACATATACATCACCATTTGCATACACTTGATTGCGCATGAGCCAGTTTGTTTTCACTGAGATAAATACCCAACTATCTCCCGTGACGCAGCTGTTAGTGAAGAACTGAACATCTGTATATCTGTGATTGTAATCCTCTTATCTGCTGGCATGATGAGCTTTTACAACAATCAAGCAGAGGAAGAGAAATGCATCTTACAATTTCACCAGAGAACAGCGGTCTGCATTCTGTAATCAGAAGATCGCCACTCAAAAACCACCGGGGGAGTGACGTTTATCTCGTGCTGCAAAGCATGTGACCCTTTTCATTGTACTCCAGATAGAGAGAGATAAATGGAAGTTCATCACAGGGCAGACATTACCTAGCAAGCTCAGCAGAAAACTGTGATTTAGCTGAGAGCAAGCATGCTTAATTTAGTGAAGTATAAGTAAGTATCAAAATAAATTGTTTTAAAGTGGTTGTTTATAGCTGTTGTGATACTGTTTTAAACCTTTAACCCTGAGTACTAAACTTTGGCTTGTAACTTGCACCGTTTGTGCTATGGATATGAATAATACCTCAAATGGTGCATCTTTTTTTAGTTTTGCCAAATATCATCTTGTGAGGTGGTGTAATGTAATTCAAACTTTAAGGTGTGTTCACATTAGCATTAGTTACTTTCAATCCAGGCAGCTCTCTGTTAGTCAAAGCGACAGATCATTCTCATGACCCGTTGCAAAATCTTCATTGACAAATCTTTCGACCCTTAAGTGAAATACCCAATGAAATGGATTCTTATTAAAATGACTTGATTATGACTGCAAACATTCGCCAAACTTGTAAATGTGACCGCACCTTTACAGTTATTTCCTTCACGCAACAATGAAAACAGTGCAAGCTTTGATGTCTGATTCACAAACAAATGACTATTATGAACTGGTTATTTTTAATGAATCATTCATAAAGATTCACAAAACTTTTTCAAATTTGCTTGTGAATTTAGCAGTTTGAATCATACTTGACTCTCTCAAGAACTCTGAACTGCAAGTAATTTTTTGGTTATGTCTGATTCTGAATAAACCAGGAACCGTTAGGCCGTGTGTCCACCAAAGGGTTTTTAGCCAGCTGAAAATGCCATGCGCTCTTTTGAAAATGCCTGCTTTGGATGTTTTAGAGCACTTTGGAGGCCTTAATAAAATAATAAATGATGACAATGTTAGTTTTGTTGATGTACCATCCAGTGCTGATTCTAACAGAAGGGGTTTGAGCAGCCTACTGTTGCTATGGTTACCTCCTCGGGCTAGAGCAGTTTCTGTTCATGTTCATGAGATCCATTTGACATGTGGTGAAAAGACACACTCTAATTTATAATCTGACTTTTGTGTTAAAATATTCCTAATCCAATATGCTGAATTTGAACTCTTTATGAATTTTTAAGAAGTCCCCCCATAAACTGTGTTCTTTATCAGGTTCTGGACCCAGAGCAGAACCACAGCTTCACCGACCATTACCTCAACGTGCCATTTGACCTCTCACAAGTCCTCTTCATCGCCACAGCAAACACCACGGCCACCATCCCTCCTGCCTTACTGGACAGAATGGAAGTCCTCCAGGTGCCAGGTCAGAGTTCAATTTCGGACAAAAAAGACAGCATGATGTGGCATTGACGATGTGACATTTTTAGAGATTAATTCCTGGCTATTTTAACTCAACACAATGGACTTTACCCTACAGCTGAGCAGATGGTTTTGTAGTTGAATACTTGATTAGTTTATAGTAATTTGTGTTCTGAATATTAGCATGTGTGTCTCATTAGGATACACCCAGGAGGAGAAGGTAGAAATCGCCCATCGGCACCTGATCCCTCATCAGCTGGAGCAGCACGGACTGACCCCACAACAGCTCCAGATCCCACAGGACACCACAAAGGATATCATCAGCAAGTATGCACACACACACACACAAGCACACACACACACTCAGTGTTTTGTATTCTAAAGAGGTTCAGGCTGATAATGGCACATTTGAACCCACATGGAGGACAGAAGGACGAGATTAAAGTGTCCAAACAGGAGCAGTCATTGTCAATTAAAAACTAATCGCACACACTAACAAATGAATCCACCTCTTCATCCACATGTATTTGTAAGTAAACATGCCATCTACATTGTCGCTAAATAGTGAATATATTGGTAATATATGATCAACATATATGGAAAAATATATAAATAAGTAAATATGAAGAGTTTGGTTCCAAAACGCTATAAATCCATTTGGATTAATTTGAGTAAAAATGTGTTTTCTTTACCAAGAAAGTGGCCAGATGAAAACCACTATTTTCTGTTTCAAACTTTCACATAGCAGCTTTAGGTTATAATAACATTAAAGGGGTCATATGATGCAATTTCAAGTTTTCCTTTCTCTTTGGAGTGTTACAAGCTCTTGGTGCATAAAGAAGATCTGTAGTTGAAGTTGCAAAGACTAAAGTCTCAAATCCAAAGAGATATTCTTTATAAAATTTAAGAGTCAACCACACCTACCTAAAACGGCTCGTTCTAACACGCCCCCACATATCTACGTCACTATGTGGAAATATTAGCATAATGCCGCCCAAATGTGCACGCAAAGAAAGAAGCCGTGGTTTCAGGAACCGCAGTTAGTGTTGATGCAGCCATGTCAGGGAGACGCTGTGTGATTCAGTGCGAAAGCAAAAGCACTTTATTTGGCCTTCCGAAAGTAGATGCAATTAGGAATCATTGGTTAAGATTTATTTACAACAGAACAGCACAACCCAGATGTTCGAATTTGTGCAACGCATTTTATGGATGACAGTTTTTTGAACCTAGAAGAGTACAAGGCTGGCTGTGCACAAAGGCTATTTCTAAAAAATAAAAAAAGTGTAAATTCCGACTTTGCTATGACAATCTGGCGCTTCTGAATCAGCGACTGTAGGTATGTTTTGTTATTAGTTTAAGTATTTGCTATTGACTGTTCAAATGCGGAGTTTTG